ATACATATTCTATCAACTAATAGAGCTATTTTTTTAAAAGATAGGACAGAAAATGACTTCTATACTTTTAAAATTTTAGGAAGTCTTTAGACCGAGCCAACTATAGTTGACATTTTCCTTAAGTCATAGTACTAGGTAATATAGATTATAAAATATAATTATTGTTTATATTATTTTGTTAAAGAAATAAGACCTATATTTTATAAAATGAATTTGAATAAAATGGATAAAACAAATAAAATGAATAAAACAGATAAAACAAATAAAAATGAATAAAATGAATAAAATTTTTAATTCAAATAGAAACCCTACCCATCATGAATTTTTGGTGGATGTGTCATTAAAATTAGCTGTGTCAATTGTATCAAGATGAAATTTTGAAGTTCTGGCTCTTTTCAGTCTATCATCAGATCCATATGCATTATACATCTTGGGGCCTAAATCTGAACTTTTCATTATAAATCAAGAAATTATTATTGAAAAATTCAGATCAAGTCACACACTATTTATACTATTTCTATTATTATCATATCAATATCATTAATAATATTAATCACTATGGTACCTATATGATGTATTCTGTGAGTTATTGATTGACCAAATTCATACTACCTCCATATGATGTAAGGATACTGGCTGCAACTTTTGATGATGGTTGCTACCATCTTTGCGTCATATAAAAACGATTGCAACCACTGGTTGCAACCACCTTTACAACCATTTTGTTTCCTTTTTTGGATTGCGACATGGAACACTAATATGATGAATATTGTGTGAATGGCATGACTAGAAATGTGCTGTGCGCATTATACGCATAATAGATTAGATAAATCTGTGTTATGCACCAAAAATTTTAAAAATAATAAAAAATTTTAAATGCCAGCTAATCCCTTTTGGATTCATTTCAATAAACTTGGTCAAGTATCAGGCTTTCAGCAACCTCACACACAATGCAAATATTGTAATTATGAAATAAATGCTGCTGTTGGTAAATGTGTTGCATATTTTAAAATTTGTTCAAGAGTAAGTATAACAACTCTCCAAGGGTATTAGTGAAAATGAAAAAGAAAATCAAGAATCTGATGATTTTTATGATTCTGATGTAACTTATTAAATTTTTATAATATAACAATAAACACAATAAACATATGTTTTATTACATCTAAACTAAAACCATGAAGATAATTTTATGGTGGATGTTTTTTTAAAAAATCATTAATAATTTACTATGCACAATAAACTAAGGATTTCGCATTTTGCCCATCCCTAGGCATGACAAACATAAAATCCTTAAAATGGTTAGGAAACTTTTTAGCAAAATCTCAGTTTGATGGTCAATCCTTAAAATTTAAAAAGGAAAAATATCATCATATTATTTAGAGCATCACTATCATTATTGATATAGATACATACCTTTAATTTAAAACAAGTTATATTGTTTGATGTTTAAGTCTTCTTTCAAGATTTACAAATCCATCAAAAAATGCTTTAACAATTGTATGGTAGACTTTTTCAGTTTTGTAATCAATAATATTGCATGAAATATTACCAAATAGTCTACTAAGGTAAACCTGGATTCCAAAGCTGATATTCATATTTCAAGTTCCTAATCACAAATGGATAACCTTTTTTTTTCAAAATTCACAAAGTTTTTCAAGTGTCATTTCTCCATTATCCTATCAAAGTTGATCATAACTCTCATGTAAATTGTAATAAATTTCTAAATCTATATATCCATTGGTTCAATTAAATAATCCTTATTATTGTTGATGGTGCTGTTTATAGTAATAGATAATCTTCCATAAAAATTTTTTTTTCAGTTATTATAGAGTTGTCATTGTCGCTAGATTTATCTAATGATAGTTAATCTGGTCCAGACTTGATAAAAGCAGGAGAAGTTACAGTCAGTTCAAAAAAATCTTTAGTAGTCATTGACTCTAAAGATTTTGTAGATTTTGATCTTATTGATTTTATAGGTTTTTTTAAATATTACCAATTTCATTGGTTTTGTTGATTCAGTCAACTCTATAGCAGTTATAAATTTATTTAGTCCAGCATTAAGCAAATCAGAATTATCTTCATTAATTATTGGATCATCTTTAAGTAATTTGAATGTTTCCCTGTAAAATTTCTCAATTTCTAGATGTTGGTAGAAACAAATACCCAACATATGTTTTTTTTTCATGTCTACATCTGAAAGAACATTTACCAAGTGTCAAAAAGGTTTCTGGTGACAAATCATCCCACTTGTCATAACATGTAATACACATTTCTCTATCACACCATGCATATCAAAACCCACTAAAAATTATGTATTGATAAATATCGCATAATTGTCTACTGTTTGTTCTGATATTTTTTGATATGGAGATTTATCTATATGAGAAAATTCATTCTAAAAGTAGAGGCTATTAAGTCTAATTTTAATATTTCAAAGAACATATTAATTTTTTTTAAAATATAATTGCTGTTTAAATCATGATAGTAGTAATATCTAATATATATTGTCAATCCTCTTGACTTAATGGGGTTTCTCTTGATTTTAGCATTGGAGCAGGATTCTGATCTGAAATAAAATTTGAACCTTCTATTATTTCATATGTTACAGGATCAATGTCAAAATACTCAAGATTTTTAAAATTTGCATCTATCTGATTTCTTGTTTACACCCAACAAAAAATAAACAAAACAAGATTTTTATAAATGAACCATCTGATTAATAGATAAATAATTGATAAATTATAAATTTATTATGTTTACATGCTTTGACATTGATTAAATTGTAATTTTCTTGAACAAGTACATTTCTCTGGTTTATAATCTGACATATATTAGCTAATATTATTTTAATAGTAGTGCTTACTCCCCCAATCCCAGGTAAGACATTTTGATCACGTGTATGAGAATCATTTGCCTTTTTAGGTATCAACAAAGCACAAGTGAAAAAAGAATTAATTTTATTAATAAATCAAATATTTTAAAAGCAACATTGGAGTAAATAAATTTTCCTTTATAATATATTATGATCTCTTGGAATTTCTGGGTATGATTTGCATTGGCTATTTTTTGACAAAACAACCTATTTGGTTCTGAGTGTAATAACTCTTACTTATTTGAAAATTACAAACAATGCATCCTACTAAAGGAAAATCTAAAGAACAAAACTCAAGGATTCTTGATGATTTCTCTCTTCTCAATCACAACAAAAGTGGCCTCTTTTTGACAAAATATATTTAAGGAAATGTATATCAAATAAAGAATGATTAATTATAACATTTATTTATATAAAAATATGAGAATTAATTGCCATATCATACTGTAGACAAAAAGTGCAATACAATTTTTTGTGCAAATGACAATTGTAGATCATTCCCAAACTGAAACACTTACAATAAAAATGCAGATCTTTCACTGAAGCCATTATGATCACGTTATTATTTATGAGATTATGTGTGACCTAAGATTTCTGTTATCCCCCCACCCCCTAAAATATTAGCTAATATATGTCAGTGCCCTTAGGCGTTAAGAGTTGAACACTCTTCTGCCTCAATTTACGTTTAGTCAATGTTACAAGACTTTGATCTAAAATTTCAGTATGGTTTGTATCTATGTTATTGTTGTCTATGTTTATTGTAATTGTCGTATTCGCACAATCGACTTATTATTATTATTTATTGTTTTTCGAATTCCGGGTTTTGGTTTTAATATAAAACATAAAAAAGGCAGGTGACAGGTGGGTGTACAATTCAATTTAGCACATACTGATACCAATACATCTTTTGCATCAATCTAACAAAAAAAAAATGGGAATTCTTGAAAAGATTGCTGAAATTGAAAGAGAAATATCTCGTACTCAAAAAAATAAAGGTAGAACATTTGTTTTAATTATAATAAAAATTTTGATTATGATGCATATATATATTATTAATATATACATATATTCATTTTAGCAACTGAATATCACCTTGGCTTATTAAAAGC